TGCCCTGAGCGTGTGCACACCCGGCCAGGCTGCAACAGTGCCCAACCTTGGCCTGAGCCTCGCTCTGACACTGGAGCAGGCGTTGGGAGCAGGGAGAGGCCAGGCAGTGGGAGCAGACACCTCCAAGCCTGCGGGGGCAAGGGCAGCCTTCCCAGGCCCCTGACAGTGCAGAGATACCCGGTCTGCAGCCATGGCTTGACTGGCTGCAGCTGCGCCCGGGGAAGGCAAAGCTCCCACCCTGTCAACTGAGAATAGGGTGGAGCTTCAGCCTGTTTCTGGCTCCCGCCAGCTCTATGGAGCAGGCAGTCCTGTCCCACTGCCTCCCCCAATGCAGCCAGCATCGTGGCAGTGGTCGTTCTAGATGGGCCACAGATGCCATCAATACGAAGATCTAATAAACAACAAATAGCATCTCCTTTCTAAGGAGAAATATTGCACGTTTCAGAACCCTAAAGTTCGGAAACTTTGGGGAGAAATTTAAATACATTTACTGCTTATTTTAAGTAACTTTTAAGCCTTGAAAGTCAGTTAGTTTGTAAACCCTGAAGAATGTTAATATATCTGGGCTACTCAGCAAAGTATTAGTCTTGGGGTGCTATAACAGTACTGTACTATGTTCAGATAATAATCACAATCACAAATTTGCAATGACAATTTTTCTATTATTACAATTCTTAAAAATATATCAAAGTAGAGAGAATAGTATAATATGCCCATCCCAGCCAGGCACATTGGCTCACACCTGCAATCCCAGCACTTTGGGTGGCCGAGGCAGGAGAATCACCTGAGATCAGGAGGTCGAGATCAGCCTAGCCAACCTGGTGAAACCGATCTCTACTAAAAATACAAAAATTAGCCGGGCGTGGTGGCGTGCACCTGTAGTCCCAGCTACTTGGGAGGCTGAGGCAGGAGAATCACTTGAACCTGGGAGGCAGAGGTTGCAGTGAGCCAAGATTGTGCCAATGTACTCTAGCGTGGGCAACAGAGTGAGACTCCATCTCAAAAAAAAAAAAAAAAAGCCTATCCAGCTTCAACAGTTCTTAACAAATGACTAATTTGGTTTCATTTTTGCTTTTACTTTCCCTCCAAACTTCATTATTTTGGGGCAAATTCTAGACATACTATCTCTTAAATTAACTTTTCCCCAACTTTTTAAAAATAATGGACATCCAGGATGCTTCCGGTTTGGGGCTAGTATGAATATAGTTGATAAGAGCACCCCTGAAAAGTCTTAAAACCTAGGATTAGGTTTTAATTTAATTGCTAGGTCATGAGGAGGTGTCAGATTAGTTTTATTAAGAAACCACCAAGGCTTCTTGCAGTTTGTTGAGAGTACTGGATGTTCCAAATATCTTTACCAATACTTGAAATCAGTATTTAATTTTAGCTATCCTAATAGATGGGTTCTGCTGAATTAACTTATAAACGCATTTTATTTCTCTTGTGTTTTAAAAACAACTAAATTACATAATCCACAGACTTTATTTTGGGTTAGTTTTCCAAGCCAAAAAAAAAAAAAATGTGTTTTAAAAAAGAATTAAAACTATATTAAAATAAACCAATGTGTAATTCTCTTCATATCGTTAAAAAAAAAAAATTTCTGCTGTAATGTGTTACATTAAGAAAGAAGCTAAAATTTCTTTACATCAAAATGCTGTAACAGAAAGGTGTGCAGAGTACAACACTGTGGACTTAAAAATCATAAGGCATATGAGGAAAACAGAGTTGGAACAACCACTAAAAATCTAGATGGCTTTGTAAATAGAGGACAAACAAAATAATCGGCCCAACTAAATCCCCCCAGGCGCATGCACTGAAGTCACTGTCAGATGGTGTCTTTCCGCCTTCAGTCCTGAGCGACTGATTTCCTTCTTCATGAGACGAGCACACAACTTCCAAAACAGATCGGTTTCATCAAAACTAGGTATCGGATCCAGGGGAAAGCTTAATTCTGTCCATCGATCATGTGAGCACAGGAGCAAAACGTCTTCACAGCCTCTCCACTCAGCTGCAGCTTCATCATCACAGCACTGCACGAGGTGAAGCAGCTCATGGGTCCTTGAAACCAGTCACTTCTCTCCCTAAAGGAAGGTACTGCAAGATTTTCACCGTCTTTCTTAAAATAGTCATACTTTCTCTTTAATTGTGATCACTTTTTTGTTCAGCACAGAACATCAAAATGCTGGGGAAAAGTGCGTATGAAAAAACAACGCAATTTCTAATTTGTATCAACATTGTTTTCTATCTGATTCCCATTAAGGAAACACATACTGAAGCAAAACAAACTGAATGAGAAAAGCCCATTTTCAAAAAGGAACGAAAAACTCATTGAATTTAACTCTTGCAGCATGAAACTTTGTCAAAGCTGTCTCATTTCTTGGTCAATATATCAGTATATTCTATGAGTGATTTCTATTTCCTCTGAGGGTTTTTGTTTTTTTTTCTTTAACATTTTCATGGACTGGGATAAACTTCTCTTTTCCAAATTTGACACATACAAAAACGCAGATTGATTTTTTTTACAGGAATATGAATGAAGCAAGTAAAAAGTAATGATCACGTTGTGAGTTCAAATGTATGTCATAAGGTTAATTTGCAGAATCCTAGACAGCATTCTTAGAATTAACAACTGTACTTTTTAAAATTTCTTCAACATTTTAAACTGTTATTCCAACACCAGATTCTCATCGGAATACTCACGTTGCAATTAAATTAAAGATTAGGTTTAGTACCCCCACATAACTGTCATCTGTTTCTCAATGTTCATCACTGAATAGTTCTTTGTGTAAATTCCCTTCCCCGTTCCAATACAGTTTTGCTTAAGAGTACCATTCCAGAACTTGATCCATTTTAGCCTGACCTCCAGGAAGCATCTTGTGTGAAAAGTCATGTGGTCATACACAAGATTACCCCAGAATATTGTGTGGGCCACCATGGAAGGTGATGATACCTCTAAGGCAGCAGCAGGAGCAGCAGTGAGAGGGGCTCCGAGCTGTGACTTCATCATACTCATCTTCACTTACATCCCTGAAGGGCATTCTTGTAGCAGGATTATGTTCAGACAACCTCATATCATTTGAAAACACATATTTGGAGGGCGGGGGGTGGGGAATGTGAACTATGTTTCATTAGAATAAACTGAAGCACAGAGATATTTTTAATATGCTAAAAGCTGATGCTGATTGCCATTTATGCTGAAAGAAAAAATAAACAGTGCATACAGGCAAATCTGCACAAAACCAATCAGGCAAAGTGTACACAAATTTGGGAAGAATATCTCCTCAGATGTTACTAAAAATAATTCTCCATTATCATGGGTGCCACCTTCAATGCTAAAGCTGAATAACCTCTAAAGAAACTAAAAACTATTTGAAAGTCTGAATTCAAATAACCATGAATTCTTAAGTTAAAATGTAAAGAAGTGTGTAGGTGGGGAGGGGGCCATGTGTGTATGTGTTTTTCATTCTTTTTTGAATCAGAGTATCACAGGTCAGGAGGATCTAGTTTACAACATCCTTTCAGTTCTCAAACCTTTAAATGTGTTCCTTTTATAGTTTAGCTTTTTATCTTTCAACAATTTTCAGACTTACAAAAAGGTTCTCAGATTACCAAAAAATTCCCATTTTCCCTGAACCAAGATTCCTCAAATGTTAACACTGCAGAAGGATGCTCCTTTATCCTTAAATAGTTCAGATCAAATTTTTTAAAACACAGGACATGCTTGTAAATAATGACGTACAAATATCAAAATCAGGAAGTTAACATTCACTGACGCAATACTATGATCTAGTCTATAAACTTTATTTAGATTTTTCCAATTGTCCCAATAACGTCCGTTATAGCAACAGAAAATCCTGGCTTGTGAGTTCATTCAGTTTTTCATGTCTCTTTAAACTCTTTTTACCTAGAACATTTCTTCGTCTTTTTTAATCTTTCCTATTATTGACACTTTTGAAGCGTAAAGGCCAGTTAGGTTGTAGAAATTCCTTCGTTGGAGTTTGTCTGATGTTTCCTTGGGATGAGATTCAGCTTATGCTTTCTTGGCAGGAGTTACCGGAGAAGTGATATTGGGTACTTCTCAACGCGTCCTATCAGGAGGCAGGCGGTATCAGTTTATCCCTTTAGTGGTGATAGGGATTTTGATCACTTGGTAAACTGATATCTGATCAGCTTCTCCACTGTAAAGTTACTATGTTCTTTTTGTAATTAATAAATATCTTATGGGGAGATACTTTTAGACTATGTCAATATCCTGTTTCCATTAATTTTTTTACCTATTAGTTTTAGCAAAGTGTTTTTAAATTCCTTTCCAGAATTTTCTAGGTAAGTTTAACATTAAGCTTCTTTTATCTAATCTCTACCTTAACAAATGGATGCTGCAGCCAGTGTCTATCCTCTGCCTACAGAGGCATGGACACTGGCTGTAGCATCCATTTACTAGGTGTAGACAGTTCTCTGAAGCATGGTTAAGATTTCAGGAACGCACTCATTCCAGCCTCTCGGTCAAAACCACCAGAAGGAAATAAAATCCATCTTTTTCTAACATGAAAATGGTAGTGTACCCTTGAGGGATTTTATACTGGCAGGTGAGAGCTGTATAGTGTTCCCTGTCACCAGCACTCAGGAAACAATGCAGTACAGTTACATAGTTTTATATCAAGATTCCCTTATCTCATGGTTTCAAGAACTCCTCTGAAAAAGTAATATATGTCCTGTAACAAAAATGTACACACTTGTTCTTAAACATTTTTCTTTAAAATATTTCATTTTTTTCCAAAAAGACACTCCCCCACCCCGCCCCCAGTTCCCCCATAAAAGAGTTTTCAGGTGAATTTTTACCCGCCGGTTTTACTCATCCACTCCCCACCACCACCTTTAAAGCTTTTTTCCTCCCCTACTCAAGACCTTACTAGACTGGAAGCAATCTGGCAAAATCTGTTAGAAGGTGAAGAGAGGGAAGAGCGCTCTTCTAGCCCTAGATTCTATAAAACTGTCCTTACCTGCTGTGGAAAACAGGTGCGGACTGAGTGCTCTGTGTAACCAAAAGATGGCCCTTCAAAGACAGCTGTTGGGAGCTTCAGAACTTCCTTCAGAAACTGGTCAAACTTGCTAAATATCATTAAGCCATTGGAATCTGACATCTGGGAGAAAACATCTATGAGAACAAAACCAAATAAAGTCAAGCTATAAGGAAGTACCAGCTTTTTATAAATGGCTCTATGTCATTTGTATACCAAACAAAAAGTATCATTAAAAAAGTATCATAAAATTATTGTGACTTTTAGTTAATATTAAAACTATTCTCATCCTTATTAACACTGTGGGGCTACCCTGCAGACGAGGCCCCTCTCTTCTACTCACTTAATATTCTACCTAAACATTAAATCAAATAACCATTCATGTATGACTACCCTACTATTTTTGAGTGTTTAAAACTAGATGATATATAACTTTTATTTATTTATACCTTTGTTCCAAGAAGAATTTGCGGCAGCATATCTTCATCTCTTAGTGTCGCCACATGTGTTTATATAAGACATATGTATGATTGAGTATATAAACATATTAGCATCTTGGTGATAGTGTATGAGAGAAATTGTATTATACTTGTATATTCTATACTGATGATGTAATGCATGCCTGTGAAAGAACACATCTGAAGGAGCCATAGAGAATATTTAAAATATTTATCTAATGAGTTCCAAAGCAGAATAAAAATAACTCATCTAAACTCTTCTATTCCAAGACACTTTGATACTGTAAGACCCTATTTTTATATTAAGTCAGGTCAAGCAGATGAGAAAGAAGCTTCCAGTAATACTACTACAACTTTATCTGCTTGCAGGGAGTTCCTGTCTCTAACCATTCTTCTCTTCTCATCCATAGTTGGGGAGTAAAAGAAAACTAGAAGTCAAAAGCATTTGACAAAGAAATGTGAATGGTAGAAAACTAGGCAGTTTTTCAATCCATTGAACTTCCTTACAAACAAATTAGTAAGCCAAATATGCACAGAAAAATCATTTCCTGAGGACTTTTCAAACATAGCATTTTGAAGACTCATCCAGCCTGGGCAACATAGTGAGACCTCATCCCTACAAAAAAATTTTAAAAATTAGCCAGGCATAGTGATATGCACCTGTAGTCCCAGCTGCTCAGGAGGCTGGGGTGGGAGGACTGCTTCAGCCCAGGAGGTCAAGACTACAGTGAGCCGTGATACCATGATCACACTACTGCACTCCAGCCTGGGACAGAGTGAGACCTTGTCTCCAAAAAAAAAGAAAAGAAAAGAAAATTCACATTTTATATATTCACAATGAAGAGGTATAGTAGAGATCTATACCTATTTAACAGATATACGTAATATATATATATGCATTACTTTTTGGGTTCAATTTTGCGGAATTTATACTGAAGCATCAGGTGAAAAAATTTTTAAACACACTTAAAGAAAGATAAAATGTTAGGTTATTGATCCACAGGGTAATTTTTAAGGCATTAGAAAAGAAGAAATTACCAAAGGAATGAAAATATTCAGTGTGAACTCTCATGATTGCCGCTAGTTACAGTTGATGGAAAAATATTAAATACCCATATGGGGGGAAAAAATCCAGCAAGAGACTAAAAGATGGCCCTAGTAGAAAGTAAAATAAATTAATTAACAAATACATATTAAGTTCCTGTTATGTGATCCAAGTGCAAGCACTGTTAGGTGTTTAAAAGCACAACAAAGAAATATGACAGATGGTCCTTATCCCCCAAGACACTTTCAATGTAGCTAGAAAAATAAGATATACTTGAAACAAAGAAGAATTTGAGCTGACCACAGAAAAAATAGAGGCAAAAAGATACATGTTAAGCCCTACCACGTGCTAGGCACCACTACAGTTAACTATGCTGAGTTTGCCAGTAGCCACATTATCCTCTTCTTCCTTAGTAACAAAACACTAATTTTACTTTGTGCAGGAATGTACCAACTAACAAGCTGCAAGTTCCCAGCAAGTAGTGGTCATGTGACTAAGTTCTAGCTAAAATGAGCTTGTAAGCAGAAGGGTTGTAGGGGACTTCCAGAAGGCTAGGTAAACAAACCTAACTGAGCTGAAAAACAGGCCACTTTTTCCTTATTCTCTCCCTCCTTCTTCTATCTGGAGTGCAGCTATGAGAGCTGGAGCTCCAGCTGCCATCCTGGACTATGTGGTAATCTCAATCTTGATATAGAAATCACACTAGAATGGCAGGGGGGAAAAAGTGTGAATCCCAGATGAACATGAAGTTACCATACTGGCCCTGGACTACCCACCTCTGGACTTCTTTCATGTGACAGAAAATTAAACTTCAACTTTGTTTATGATACTATTATTCTGGGTTTCTAAGCATTACTCTACTATTACAGCTTAGAAAGGTTAACTTGCTTAAGGTCAAAAAGTTAAGAGGCCAAATCAAGTTTAAACCCACACCTATCTGACTCCAAAATAAAAAGCATTACACCATACTCCTTCAAAATATAATTTAGAATAGATACAAAAACACGTGAAGGAGTTGTCAAATTCTAAAAGAAAGAAATTTAGAAGCTAGGCCTTGAATGAGAGGATCTGGAATGATGGGGCCAAAACAGGTTGAGGATAGGGACTGGGGGGCACTAAAGAAGAGTAGGATAAAAGTCTCTATGACAGGAGTGTGCAGTGTGTACCTCTATACTGGTGATAAGCAGGAAATAGGGCATTGAAGAACACATTCTATGACAGCCAATTTATATTAAGAAATAAAGAAAAAGACTGAATAGGAAGAGTATTCCTGTTATAAAAGAAAACGATGAAGGAGGGAAGCAATTTGGTTTTAGCTTAAAAACTTCTAAATAGAGATCAAATTTTTAGAAAGTTAGGTTTCAAGGCGATTAGACTGTTAATGATCAGCACACAATGAATAAAAGAAAAAGAATGGAATTGGAGACACCAGCTAGGAAACCTTGTAAACAATGCACAAAGGAGGTGGGGGGAGCCTGGATTACAGTAGTGACAGTGTGTGCAGGGACACGGGAGGCCAAATCCAAGGCATTTCAATGCAAGGAACTGCAGCTGATGGCAAACTAGATTACAGAATAAAGGAAGTTTAAAAGTTAGGATTCTTTTAAGTTTCTAGCTTGGGAAAATGCTGACAAATCCCAACTGACATAAGCAAATCGAATATAAAGATACTACACTTAGCTCTGAACATAACTGTTTGAAATAACTAGCAATTTTTTTTGAGACGGAGTCTCGCTCTGTCACCCAGGGTGGAGTGCAGTGGTGTGATCTCGGCTCACTGCAAGCTCCGCCTACCGGGTTTATGCCATTCTCCTGCCTCGGCCTCCTGAGTAGCTGGGACTACAGGTGCCTGCTACCACGCCCAGCTAATTTTTTGTATTTTTAGTAGAGACGGGGTTTCACTGTGTTAGCCAGGATGGTCTCAATCTCCTGACTTCATGACCAGGCTGCCTCAGCCTCCCAAAGTGCTGGGATTACAAGCGTGAGCCACCGCACCCGGCCCAAACTAGCAAATTTTTTAGTGGAACTACCCTGCAGACAGTTAGAAACAATATTTGACCACAGCTCTAGACTACAGATAGAGAACTTTGAAAATGTTACCAATGATATGAATAAATGATGCTCTTCGAAGGAGGGAAGAACATAAATGGTTTAACCTTTAAATAGCTGGCTGCTGATCAGGCATGGTGGCTCACACCTGTAATTCCAGAACTTTGGGAGGCCCAGGCAGGAGAATCGCTTGAGCCCAGGAGTTCAAGGTCAGTCTGGGCAACATAGCAGGACCTCGTTTCTACAAAAAATAAAAAAAATTAGCTAGACATGGTGGCAGGCGCCTGTAGTCCCAGCTACTTGGGAGACTGATGGGTGAGGACTGCTTGAGTTTAAGAGTTGGAGGCTGCAGCGAGCTCTGATCATACCACTACACCCCAGCCTGGGTAACAGACGAAGACCCTATCTCAAAAATAAATAAATAGCTGGCTGCTATTCTTACAAGGAGGAAAATAATCATTCATTAAATCTGAATGAAAACAAAGGGTCAACATGGGAGGTGGCAGACACTGCCAGGTGCTTCAGTATCTTCTTCCCTTTCTTGCTCACTAGCTGAGCCCAACTGCTGGGAATGGCTTGAGCCACTTAACAAATGACTTCTCAGCCTCCTTTGCACATTGCAATACTGGAGTCGATTTCTGGAAAACCCTCTGCTTTCCTAACAGAGGCACCTCCTTCTTCCTTCTGCCTGGAGTAAGTACAGAGGCCTGGGATACGGCAATCATCTTTTGATCCTAAGGAAGAAAGCCATATGGCAGAAGGAAGACGGGAAGAAATGAAGTCTGTGATGACAACCATAAGTCAGGGTAACAACTTTGAACTTATCAGCCTTTGGACTTATTTTTACATGAGAAAAATAAATCCTAATGTGCTTAAGCCACTGTCAGTCAAGTTTTCTATCACCACTCTGTGTATTCATAACTGAGTAACTAATGAGTAATTAACCTGTGGCCATTAATGGTGGGAATATTCAGGACCAGTGACTTTTAGCTTCCAAGTACATGAAAACATATGTGTATAGCTTCACAATCACAAAAATGTGTATGTATACACCCACACCAACAAATCTATACCTAACCCATTCAGAGTAATAAAAAGGAGTGACTGGATAGTAAAATGACAAACCACTCCCACGAAAAAGTATTATATCAGTTATACTTAGTTACTATGTCATATGAATAGACTCAAAGTAATAAAAAAAATTTTATTCGTAAGAAACGATAACAGGCCCATATTACAATAAGTGAAGCAGAAACATGTCTATTTGTTTTAATGAGAGATGCTGCTAGACCCCAAAATTGAAGGCACAGTGAAGTAATTCATCACTTCTTGAGTTATTGGTTTAAAACAATTTTTTTATGAATAGCCTTATCTGTAAGAAAAACAATTTTACAATGATTGCTAACTCTTAAATCTTAAATGAAGTTTAACAATCAACCTAAGTTATTGTGATTTACCTATGTATATATAAAAGGATCTTATCAAAGAAGTGAATAAAATAATAAAATTTAATGAAAATATTTTAAAAATTAAACTAGTACTCTAATTAAATAAAGCCCTAAACCCTCCTGGCATTAAGGGACTA